AGCTAATGTTCTGGCTCAAGGCAGTCTGGCAGGAAGATTTCCCTCGTTTCCCAGAATGGTGAGGCTTTTTGTTCTTTTCAGCTTATTGGATGAGGGCCACCCACGTGAGGGAGAGTGACTAACTTCTTTATTCAGTCTGTTGACTTAAATGTTAATCTCATCCAAAAACAATCCCAGAGACACACCCAGAATAATGCCTCACCAAATATCTAGGCACTCCATGGCCCAGTCAAGGTGATAGGTAAGTGCAAATGCAAGTCGCTCATTGTTTCTGACTCTTTGCGACCCCAGGGACTATATAGTCCAAAGAATTCTCCAGGCCAGAATACTGGAGTGGGTAGCCGTTCCCTTCTCCAGGGATCTTCCCAACTCAGGGATTGAACCCAGGTCTCCCACATTGCAGGTGGTTCTTTACCAGCTGAGCCACAAGGGAAGCCCAAGAATACTAGAGTGGGTAGCCTATCCCTTCTCCAGCAGATCTTACTGACCCAGGAATCGAACTGGGGTCTCCTGCATCGCAGGTGATTAGCCAAAATTAACCATTGTAGCAGTCTTGAGCTTTCTCAGGTATATATTTTTAAGTGGGATGGAGGAGCATGATCTTCCAAGGATCAGGGTCTTGGGCCAATAGAAGCTATAGTAGAATTTAATTCTCATAGCACAGAAAGGTTGGACAGTGTTGTTTATACTGAGAATTTTACAGTTCTCAGCAATCAAATGGCATTATAAGAGTTTCATGAGATTTATGTCTGCTAAGTCGCTTCACTTGTGCCCCCCTCTTTGAGACTCTATAGACTGTAGCCTGCTGGGCTCCTCTGTCCATGGGGATTCTCCAGACAAGAATACTGGAGTGGGTTGTCATTACCTAACTCAGTGGATCTTAATGACCCAGGGATTGAACCCATGTCTCTTAAGTCTCCTGCATTGGCAAGTGAGTTCTTTATCACTAGTGCCACCTGGGAAGCGCCACTTAGTTGGTAAATATTTTAAATCAGTTTAGAATTCTAAGAATATTTTAAATGAACTTTGTTATGATAAAAGTTATGATAAAATAGCTGATTTATGTATGAGAAAAAAGCTAAGACAAACCTAGACAGTGTATTAAAAAGCAGACATTATTTTGCTGACAAAGGTCCATATAGTCAAAGCTATGATTTTTTCCAGTAGTCATAAACAGATGTGAGAGCTGGACCATAAAGAAGGATGAGTGCTGAAGAATTGATGTTTTGAACTATGATACTGGAGAAGATTCTTGAGAGTCCCTTGGACAGCAAGGACATCAAGCCAGTCAATCCTAAATGAAATCAGCCCTGAATATTCATTGGAAGAACTGATGGTGAAGCTAAAGCTCCAATACTTAGGCCACTGATTCGAAGAGCTGATTCGCAGGAGAAGACCCTGATTCTGGGAAAGATTGAGGGCAGGGGGAGAAGGGGGTGATAGAGAGTGAGATGACTGGATGGCATCCTGGATTCAATGGGCAGGAGTTTGAGCAAACTCTGGGAGATAGTAAAGGACAGAGAAACCTGGCATGCTGCAGTCTATGGGGTTACAAAGAGCTGTACATGACTTAATGACTGAATAACAATCCATTACAGAACTGTGCATTTTAGAATTGAACTAAATTTTATATTTTGAAGGGATACAAATTCATCACTTACTATTTTCAAATTGCTGCCTCATTCTGTCCTTACCTTGATGTGTACATGATCTTAGACATTTTGAAAATATGGAAGCAATGAGCTCAACCACACAGGCTTGAAATTCCAGAAAAATATTCTTCTGGCAAAAGAAATAGAGCCAGTTTTATATTGTTACTGTTTTCCCTTTAAAGATCAATATTCTTCCATTTACTACTGTTATATACCAGGATCTTTTTATGGGGTTTTGTCACTATAATTAAACCAATAATGAGTACAAATATTTAGTATAAGTATATTCATAGTAGCAGGTTCTATGGAAAACAAAGGTTTTTCTCATCTTGCATTCACATCCCCTAGCCATAGAACTCTTCCTAATGTGAAAGTCCTTTGTTCCACATGTGTATGCTTCTCCCTTTTCTGAATGAAACTTCAGATCTTAGTCAAAATCCTTAACCTGTGTACTTAGCATTTAGTCTCCCTCTGTGAAACTTTAAAAAGTGATTTCCATGCTAAGAAGCAATTAGTTCAGCATACCCTGCAAAGAAAGTCTTCTTCAGTATTATATTTTCTCTCTTCTAGATATCCAATCCTTTTAATATCTTAACTTATGTCTACAGAATGAAGGTGCTTTATAAGACAGACTTTGTACCTATTTACAGGGGGGGACATTACTAATATTATGGCAAATAGATCAGTTTCCAATGTTTTAGATACCTTTTAAAGTTTCTATTTTCTCAATCCCACTTTAGATATTCAAGAAATATTTATTAAGTTCCTATTATGTGCTATAAATACTATGTATTGAGTGCCTCTTGGAAGATGAAACTACACTAGCTAATGAAAGAGAGTATGGCCTCAGTTACACAGAACTTTCATTCTAGTCTGGGAAGATAAGGAGTAGTCAAATAAATAAAACATATGATGAGTGATAAGTTATGAAATAAAAGCAGGATGATTTTATTAGACAGAGCCCTTAGTTAGGTGAACATTTTACCAGGTGAACAGGGGAAGATCTGACTCCTAAGGTGACATTTCAGAAAGGAAGCATGAGAAATGGAAGTGTAATCCATAAGATGATTTCAAACACAACTTAGAGCAACTGTGAGTGTCCCGAGGCAGAAGTGAACTTAACATAGTACAGGAATAGCAAGGAGGCCAGTGTGACTGGAACAGAATGAACAATTGGAAAGTGGTAAGAAATGAGCTCTTAGAGAAGCAATAGGGGGTCAGATCACATAGGGCTTTGCTTATCAGTATTCGGATACTGTCTTTCACTCTGAATGTAAAGCTATTTAAGGGTTCTGTGTAGGCTAGTGATACATGTATGACCTACATTTGAAAAATTCCCCTCACTGCTATTGTTAAGGATAGATTAAAGGAGGGTGAATCTGCAAGTAGAAAAATGAATCAAATACTATTGAGATACTGCGCACTTGGCCTAGGGTGTTAACCACAGAGGTGATGAGAAGTGACTTGATGCTGGTTTTATTTTGAGTGGGTGTGTGTGTATGTGTGTGCTCAGTCTTGTCAAACACTTTGCAATCTCATGGACCGTAGCCCACGCGCAGCCTCTGTTAATGGGATTTTCCAGTAAAGAATACTGGAGTGGGTTTCCATTTTCTCCTCCAGGAAATCTTCCTGACCCAGAGATGGAACCCACAAGGCCCGTGTCTCCTGCATTGGTAGGCTGATTCCTTAGCACTGTACCACCTGGAGGCTAGAACTGACAAGGACAATGTCCAGATATTTGAGAAATAGGACAGATGCAGTCAAGATTTTTGGGTTGAAAACTGGAAACATATAGCTGCCTTTGTCTAAGAAGAGTAGAAGAGACACTATCAAGACACGTTCTATGTTGAACTATGTGATATTTTTGGAACTCAGTTATTAATCTGAGTGGAGATGTAGGCTAGATAGCTGGTTACATGAATCCACAATATCCTGGCTGAACATAAATATTTAGTAGTTACCCCTTCTGGCTCAGCTGGTAAAGAATCTGCCTGCAATGCGGGAGATCTGGGTTTGATCCCTGCGTTGGGAAGATTCCCTGGAGAAGGGAAAGGCTACCCACTCCAGTATTCTGGCCTCAGAATATACAGTATTCTGTATAGTCCATGGGGTCACAAAGTGTTGGACATGACTCAGCCACTTTCACTTTCTTTTCACTCGCTGATGGTGTATCAGAGCCGCTGAATGAGCCACGAAAATTCAAGGATGAGTAGAATGACCAATAATAATCTTCCACTGTATTTAGATATGGAGTGATCATAGGTGACTTTGGCAAAAGTAATTTTAATGGAACGGTAGTGTAAATGTCTGAATAGAATTGGTTCAAAAGAAAGTAGGAGGAGAATGATGAGATTCAGCAGGTATCAAAAACTCCTGAGATTTTGAGGTATGTTGTTGTTAATAAAAGAAACAAAACATAGGGGTTCAAGGGAGAATTTATTATAGAGAAATTGTGGCTGATCAATTGAATGGGAAGAATTTTCAATTCTGCGTATATGTGTAAAAAGAGAGTCCCATAGGAATCTCAAGGTCATTTAGAAATATGTGGAAAACAAAATTTGATCACGGTCAGAGTCAACTAGAGAACATAAACAAAAAACTCTCAGAGTAACCACAGAGAAATCACTATGTAGAGCTAAGGAGCGATGGAGACTGACTATCGTTATTTCTGGAAAGTCTGAATCTGAATATTTGGAAGATTTCATCTGCCTTAAATTTGTATGGTCATTTTCTAAGCAGACTTATATGAATCATCTTGTTTTATCTTCTCCACAACACTGGTAATAAGTAAAAGGTAGACCACCCTTAACTTAGTTAAAAATGTGCTATCTCCAAAGTTACGGACTTGACTTAGCCTCTCTGGCAAGTTTTATTCTCATGATATATTAAAGTCATAGAAAAATGAGGACCCTTTAGCTTTCCATTCTAAAGAGAAGATGCATATTCTAGGAAGATGACTAGTAAAAAAAGATAGCCAGTCACTTAAAAGATTTCCAAGTATCCAAGGTCATTGAGAGGACATGGCCGCAGGTTGACCTGGGCATCTAAGACTTCTCACCCCTGTCCTTGGAATATGTATTCTGCTTGCATTCCCTACAACAGAATCTGCCTCAGGGATAGCGCCCTGAGGTAGCAGTGTGTTGTTGAGACCATCTGGAGTATTCCAGACTGAATCCAGTTAAGACCTCTACTTCAACTTTAAGCTTCTGGCAGGCACGGTCAGAGATTTATTCCTGCTGCTGTTGCCAGCCAAGACAAACCTAGGGTGTCAGTTCCTTTGCTTATGGAAACTCTACCATCCATCTGGGGTGGCTTGATTCTTTCTTTGGTCTCTCTTTGTTCTCCCAGTATAGGGCCCCATTTCAGATTTCACCAGGGAAGTTCCTGAGGTTTTGAACAAACAGCAAGAGGTAAGTTGAAAAACATAATAAAATATGCTTATAGTGATGAAAGTGTAGTTAAGTTTAATGGTGGAAAATGACATCATGAACATAGAAATCAAGAGAGAGTTGTACCAGATGGTTTCTACAACCATTCATGTGTGCATGTTAAGTTGCTTCAGTTGTGTCCTATAGTTATGTCCTGTGACCCTATAGGCAGTAGCATGCCAGGCTCCTCTGTCCACAGGGTTCTCCAGGCAAGAGTTGCCATTTCCTCCTGCAGGGGACTTTTGTGATTCAGGGATTGAACCAGCATTTCTTAAGTCTTCTGCATTGGGAGGCAGTTTCTTTACCACTAGCGCCACCTTGGGAATCCCTCTATAACTTTTGATAGAGCCAAAGCATCTTAGAAAAGAACTGAGATAAAATTAGTTTAAGAACTTTGAGAGGGAATTTATTATAGAATAAGTTCTGTACTATCTATTGTAGAGAGGGAATTTGCTGTCCTTGTTAAACAGATTTTTAATTAATAAGGAAATATCACATACATTGTACAGAGGGATTATCATTTTTCCACAGAATTAGAAAACAATAGAATATACTTAACACTAAATTAAATCAACACAATTTAATCATTTTAATGACTCCAAAGTTTGCTAGAATACTTTACATTAGAGAATGAGTTTCAGCAGGTGTCCTGTGACAAAAATTGCAGGTGTACACAATAAGAAATTAGGTTATTGATTAGATTATATTTTGGAAGCACTAATAACTATTGTTCAGATCACAGAAATATTTAAGCATGGCAGGTGTTTAGACAAGCCTTGTAGTACAAGAGGATCGTGTCTTCATCGATTCATTTATTCATCCTCCATTTTGTTGAAAGCCTGCTGAATGCTTGGCATTGTGGTAACTGAATTATTATCAGTAGGAATTGTATTAACAAAGCTTTCTATCTTCAGAAAGTTGACAGTCTAGTTCGTAAAGCAGGAAAGTCAAGTATAGGAATATATACTTGATAGCATGGAAGCCCGGGAGAGAGTTACTCCGCCTAGTCCTAGTGTTACAGAGGCTCTGGGACCAGGTGGACCCCAGCTGGGTCCTTTCCTCACCCCGCGCCTCTGGCGCCGATGCAGGAGAGTCCAGGTTCTGCAAAGCAGAGCAGAAACTATTCACTGAACAAGGAATGGGGCAGGGCGATCTTCTGCTCTAAAGACCCCTCCTCCAGTGGTGAGGTGGGGGCTGGTGAGGGGAAGTGCAAAACCTGTGAAGGGTAAGAGATTAGTGTGCCTGTGTGAGCTGTCAGCTCAGCCGTGTCTGACTCTTTGTGACCCCATGAACCATACCCCGGCAGGCTCCTCTGTCCATGGAATTTTCCAGGCAAGAATATTGGCGTGGGTTGCCATTTCCTACTTAAGGGGATCTTCCTGACCCAGGGATCAAACCTTTGTCTCTTGTGTCCCTGCATTGGCTGACAGATTCTTTACCACTCTGTCACGGTAATCCCCAAGAGGAGTACACCATCAGAATTCAGGGAAAGGGAGGCAATTGCCAGAAACAGCTGAAGCTGCACAGTCCTTTGGGCTCCTTTGCATGCTGCTTAATTTTGTCTCACAGAGTGCAACCCTCTGTTTGGGTGGAGATCCTAACATCTTAGAAGCAAAGGCAGCTTTCAGTCTCTTCTGCTCAGGTACTGCCCTCCTGCTCAGGCTGGAACCAGTTCAGGGCAAATGACTAGCACCTTCTTGGTCCTTTCTGGCTCCAGGGTGGTTTTATGGTTTTACTTATGTGGCATCTGCCTTAGTTTCTATTAAGTATAGCTGTGGGCACATACTAACAGATTTTGGTGTGGGGGCAGAAACAGTAGTTTAGTGTTTGTACAGTGACAAAAGTCTTTTCCTTGCGACATTAGGTTGGATAAAGAATAATTTTGGGGAAAATTCACCTCTCTGTTTGAAATCCTGAGGTTTGTTGCTACTGTATCCATCATGCATATGGAAGCATATTTAATGGGTAGTTAATAGATTTAAAAGAAAAGTGCATGTCAGTGGAATAGAGAATTAGAGATGAAAGTCTTGGTCGTTGATTCAGACTGCTTGGGTATATAAGAAGGCAAACAAAATGTATTGGAAACCACTTTTCACTAAGTAATGCTCAGAGTGGCTCATTTTTTCTTAAAAAGCAAAAACAAAAACCAAAAAGTCAAACCCAGAGTGTTTAAGTGCAACATTGATTTCTTTTTCAATGACCTCGAGGGATTGAAGTTCAGCTGAAAAATGAGTAAGAATTCACACATTGATTTCATAAACAAATACATGTAGGCCAAAGGACTTACACAATCATTTGTTAATCTGTAATTAAGACATATGTATTATTCAGGGTCCATTCTGGAGATAGAAACTGCAGCAGCTTTCATTGTTATTTCTCTTTGATTTTCATTTTCATCAGGCATATTTAATATAAAGGTGTAAAACTAGGTATTGGAAGACTGGAAAGAGAAAGCTTACACACTACTGCATCAGGGAGAGTTGCTACTGGAAGGTGATTTTATCCTAAGGCTGGGACAATGGAAACATTGATGTTATTAAAACACTGGAGATGGAGTAGTGAATCTGCAGAGCCTGAAACTCAGGTGGCTGAAACTCAAGATGTCCAAGAGTCTTGCTCACTCAGTGAAGCTGACATCTCTGAGGAGGTGTAGTCAGGTGGATCCTGAAAGTGTTTGGAAAGAGCAAACTGAAATCAACTGCTTTTGCTGAAATGGAATATTACTGTCAGGGTGAAATGTTGTTGCTATGGTGATAGAGCAGCAAGAAGCAGAACACAAGATCAAGAAACAAACAGGAAGGAGTATGTCCCTTCTTTTACCTTAATTCTTCCATACTTTTCTGGTACCTTATATTGGTAGAGACTTACAGAATACAGAAGCCAGAGGACAAAGCAGTCCCAGTCCCAGAATCACAAAAGGAGTATAAAGGGTGGGTTTAAAGATTATAGCCATCACAAAAACTGATAAAACAATTTATGACTCTGATACACTAGCAGGTAATATATGCTGTTCTCTGCTTAGTCGCTCAGAATTGTCCAGCTCTTTGTGACTCCATGGACTGCAGCCTGCCAGGCTCCTCTGTATGTGGGGACTTTCCAGGCAAGAATACTGGAGTGGGTTGCCATGCCCTCCTCCAAAGGACCTTCCCAACCCAGGTCTCCCACACTGCAGGCGGATTCTTTACCATCTGAATCACCAGGGAAGCCCAGCAGGAAACATATTTGAGTATAATTTTGCATTGTATGTGTATGTGCTCAGGCGTATCTAACTTTTTGTGACCCCATGAACTATATAGCCTGCCTCTGTCCGTGGAATTTCCCAGGCAAGAATATTGGAGTGGGTTGCCGTTTCCTTCTCCAGCGAGTCTTTCTGACCCAGGGATTGAGCCTGTAACTCTTGAGTCTCCTGCGTTGACGGGAAGATTCTTTACCACTACAGCGTCTCACCCGAGAAGCCCTACTATAATTTTTGCATTAGCCCTATATAGTTTAAGTTTAAGGTTGGAAGTGGAATTCTATAAAGAATTTGATTTTGCTCCATTAGAATTGAAAGTTGATTACTAATCAATACATTTATACTTTTAAAAAGCTTAGTTATGTAAAGTTACAGAATATTGCCTTAAGTCTCAACATGCTTCAAAATGCGGAGAACTCACTTGGTGGATGTATCTGTCTTGAAGTCATTTTATTGTTCTATACTGTTTTATTAAAGACTGGTATGTAAGTTTGCTTCTTGGAATGCAGTGTGAAATTTTGGCCTGAGTTAAGGATATCAGAATATAAAATACAAAATTTGTATCAAGGCAACAAACTTTTTTCATGTTACTAAAAGAAGAATGCTTTATTTTAATTCCAAAATATTCTATTTTCAGCTTTATCATTACTTTATCACTTTCTCAAATATCAATCCACAATTAACAATGGGAAGAGGTGAAAGAATCTAGTCTTCTGATTAATCATGTAAAAATCTAAAAAGAGCTCAAGATTAGAACAGTCATAAGCTACACGATTGGAACTCTTACAAAAGGTATAGAAATCACTCAACACAAGAATTCACTCAATGATGAAATAACATTTAGAGGAAATTATTTATTTTACTTTATTAATGTTGGTATTAAAATGTTCAGCAGGGCTTTTTGTTTCTTAAGGGGAAAAAGGTAGGCAGAAAGTTGATCAAGCAAAACAATAAGAAATAAGATTTTGTAAAATAAGTAGATTTTAATTGCATCAGGTGCTAAAGTGTTATTTTTCCCTCAAGTATTCTAAGCCAATTTTTCATATGCATCATTGCATAGCACCAATGTTGCTTATTGTTCCCCATTTAGATTCTTGTTTCTAATCAAGTTTTCTGAATAAATTAGTAAGAATATATATTTTATTTGCCTCTCAAGATTATTTTTTTTTAGTTTAGCAACTAAATTACTGTTTCTTAAAAGAATTATAGCATTATATATTGATAGTTCTTTGAATTTTCTGATTTGTTCTTCAGTAATATTTTTGCATTGTGGGAAATCTAACATCAAGTTTGAAGTTTATACCTAGATAAATTGTAATATATATTTTTGATATAAAATACTAAGAGACAGGAATCTCTTTAGTTTTCAAGGAAGAGTTGCCTTTCCATGCCATTTTGAAAATTATTTATCTTTATCAAAGTAGGTAAAGAAATATTAACATAATATATTTATTTTAATTAATTAAATTAATGAACATATTTAAGAGAAATTATTAAGAGAATAATAATAGGCTTGATTTAAAGAAAGATATTATCAAATGCTAAGATTAAAGTCTCAGTACAATCTCAATTTTTAAGAATTTCAACAAAATATTTAAAAATTCCTGTTTAAACCAAACAAACTATTGTCAGCACTGTGTCAGACTTTATTTATGCCTTTATTCCACAGATTTCTTGATTGATAAAATGTCGTGATATCTGAAGAATGAATTAGAGTGTGTTGATGATCAGAGGAGTCAGTATTTTG